CAAGCACTTTTTGGGGTGAAAAATTCGAAAATGCAAATTATACCTCATCCGAAAGAGCTCGTCGAGCTGAGTCGAATGACACCAAAATCAGCTTGATTGAACAAGTTTGAGTCGAGATATAGGGCTCGAAATGGTCAAAAACCATAGGGGGATTTTATGGTCAAAAATTCGATTCCACAAATGTTAGCTCATTCGAAAGAGCTCGACAAGCTGAGTCGAATGACATCAAAATCACCGTGATTGAACAAGATTAGACAAAGTTATGATACAAAAAACAAAAAATCCTAAACCTATGGAGCGTCGGCGAGGCGCTTGTGCAAAACCCCGCGCTTCGCGCGGGGTTTTGCGGCACGCGCCTCGCGGGGAGTCTACGGGCGCTGGGTCTGGGCTCGTAACATAAGCCTATTCCTATCTCCCTTGCTCTAGACGTATTTGGGGCCTCCGTAGCAGCAAAAATCTCCACAAATGACATAGGTAAGGAGCTAAAACAAACGGTCATAACTTTGTCAAATCAAGTCGGATTTTGTTGATTTTGGTGTCATTCGACTCAGCTCGACGAGCTCTTTCGGATGAGGTATAATTTGCATTTTCGAATTTTTCACCCCAAAAAAGTGCTTGGTCCCCCCTTTGGTTTTTCGATTTTTCGGGACCTATAACTCGGTCCAGAATTATTTCCTAAAGTAGGGAGTGGTACCGTTCGACTCAGCTCGTCGAGACGAATCGAATGACATATGTCACGTCCCGAACTTTTACCACCGGTACACTACACTACAGCCTTCGGTTTTTCCGGATAAAACATGAAAAACCGGTTAGCCCGGTAAAACCGGATTTCTCAAAAATACCCGGTTCCGGCCACCGGGCCCGGAAAAAACCGGTCCGGGCCCGGCCCGGGTTCGAACTCTAGAAATTACTAACCTGATTCTTGACCTTGAGCCAAGGAAAAATCAAGTAACCGTGAAAAATGCCTTGCTAGACTTGAAATCATGAAAAATCAAGGGTTCAGATTCAGGCCGATTTCTAGAAATCATTCACTATATGTATCAGGGAAACCCGTTACGCATAACCAGGGCTAATTGAAATAAAAATATTTTTATTTTGAACATTAAAATTTTTGCCTGCGGGTCTGAAAAGGGAAGAAATCTGTAGCAGTTTGTTTTGATATGGACTATATATCCGATACAAAGAAAATTTTAAAACTCGACCCGACTTTTATCTCAACACGGCCCATTCCTGATATGTAATGTATTCTAAAATTTTTCCACAATAAAAATAATTTTAAACTTAGTTACCTTTCGAGTGTTTATATTATTGTTATTCAAATATTCTAAACAAATTTTAATTCCCAGTCCGTATCTTCCAAAAATATCTTTCCCAATTAATATTAATTTGTTCCTATCTCCATTTGTATTAATAACCTTTACAACATTTGTTGAAACAGTTTCAGATAACTCGCACCCATACATTTTCGGATTTACAAAAAATTTATTGTTTAAATTTTTTTCATTAACTTCAAGTAAAATTTTAATTTTATATACTTTCCATTCTTCTCTCATTTCATACAATTCCATTTTTAATAATTTTATTTTAAAACTTTTATCCTCATTTTTGTTATTTTCTGTCGATTCGACCAAAATTTGTTGATTATTTTTATAATCAGAAAAACAAAAAGTAAATATTAAAAATAATATTTTATAAAAAAATAAAAATTTAATAAAAAACATTTAACAAAAATTATATTTTTTTAATTTTGTTTAGTGAAAAAATTCTTTTTCTAAGTAAAGCTTATTGAAGGGTCTGTTTTTATAATTAACTTTATTTGTTTTAGTTTAACATTTATAATATTGAGAAATATTTTTCTTTCATTAAATTCACATGAAAAATACATTGACATGAATCAAAAGCTATTATTTTAAAATAATTTGTCAGGTGTTTTGCTAAATATTTTGCACTTTTTGTTTACAAAATTATGTACTTTTCATATGATGTAATTTTATGATTGCGGCATTCTTTTATTTTTAAATAAAGCCTTAATACTTTAGATGGTTATGTTTTTTAATCATTTTTTCCTATGGAAAAAACAATTATTGTAAAAAAGCTTCTGATCTATAGAGCATTTAACATGTGTTTGTTGTTGCATAACATGAGTTTGATATTTGTTGTTGTATATTGCATACTATTGCTATGCCTTAATTAATATAGAAATGCTGCTGTTGTGAATCCCTGTATAGCAATCGTTAATTTTGGTTGAGGGGGAGTGGTGGAGATGATTTTGGGGGATTTAGATTAACTGAAAAATTTTAATTTTATTGAAATATTTACTATGTATGTTAATATTTTATTAGGTAATGTTATATTGAATTATTAAGTTAATAAGCTTTGAGTATGTTGCATTATTTTCAAGGGCTAAAATTATCCGACCATGCGAAAATGTATAAGAAACTCAAAAATTTAGAACTTAAGAAAATTAAAAAGAAAATATGAATCTTTGGAATAAAAAATAAAAACTAACTGTCTAAAAATCAGACTAACTGAAAGGGGTGTGTTGGATCCTTGATTTGTCATTTTTAAAATGATTTATAATTTTTTTAAATTAAATATACTTTTTCTAAATTTGATTGACATTTATTTAAATATTTTCATCCTTTCTAAATTTCCCCAACTCAAATATTAAACTTACTTTCTCATTAAAAATAATCTTTTCTTTGTGTATTTAAAAATAATCTTTCCTTTCCCTTTCATCAACTTAAACATTTCCTTCTGGCTTATATTTAACTTAAAAGTATCTTTGTTTAATATTGTATTTTATTACTTTCCCTTCTTTATCTATCTAAAATATATTTTTATTCAAATCACCGCCTTCAGTTCTTGACTATATAAACACCCCTCACATTTTACTCAATTACCTTAATTATCTTATACTTTTATTTTAAATAAATAAACTTGATTTAAAGAAAAGGCTTGTATTTAATTTGAATAAATTAACCTGAAAGTTCAGAGAAAAACTTAAAACTAAAACCGGGTCAAACGAAGTAAAAGGGTCAAATACTTTACTGGTGCCAAGACCTTCGGGAAAGAGATTTGGTTTCTAATTGGTCACTAGATAACCATTTCTCTTGCCCAAACAATACGTTTGGAGTTTTGTTTTGAAAAAAAAAATTTTTTTTAATTTTAATTTGTAAAATTTTTATCTGCCTAGCAGATTTTTTGTTCTCTGAAAAGAAGAAAGGTTTGAGCTGTGTGCGAACCGAAATTAGTGCACTTTAAAAATTAAAATTGCCTGTGCTTAGTGCGGGCTTGAAATTGGAAATAAATATTGCCTGGGCTTAGTGCGGGCTTACAAATTGAAGATATATATTGAGCCTTGAGCTGTGTGCGAGGCCAAATTAAAAGAAATTAATTGAGAGCCTTGAGCTGTGTGCGAGGCCGACTTAAAGAAATTTATTGGAAGCCTTGAGCTGTGTGCGAGGCCAATCTTTGAAATAAAAGGAGAGAATTTTTAGTTCCTTGAGCTGTGTGCGAGGATTTGAGTATTTGAGAATTTGAAACTGTCCCTTGAGCTTTGTGCAAGGAGATTTGAAAAAAAGTTTTTATTTAAATTTTGCTAATTTATCCCTTTATTTTATTTATTCATTTAATCAGCTTTATATAAATTTTAATTTATACGTTTTTATTTAATTTATTCATTTGATTTAAAATATGTCTGGATCCGACTTTGATGATGTCTATTTTTCTGCGACGGAGCGAACAAACTTCCAGTCGTTACTTAATCGACTGAGATCTTTTGAAAAAACTGTCGCTCGCTCTTTTCGTCAATTTGAAGAAAGGTTAAGTGTTGTAGAAGAAAATGTGAAAACTAATAAAAATGGTCTTACTGGAACAAAAGGATCGGTTACTAAACTCCGAAATTCTTTAAAAAATATGGAGAATTTTGTTAAAGAAAAATTAAACCAAAATATAGATTTTGAGGAAGATCAAAATCAGTCGGAAGATGAACCTGAAATGGATCTAGAAGTGAAGGTTGGGGATCCTTTCCTTAATAATGGAAGTTTTATCCCTCATTACGATGGAAATCCGTCCATTTCATTCTCGAAATGGATAGAAAAATTCAAAGACATTTTGACATTACTGACTACCCCTTTGACGGAGGCACAGAAATTAGCTCGTTTAAGATTCTGTTTGGACGGGCAAGCAAGGTCCTTATATGACTCGATAGATCACGCTCCGAATACATTGGAAGAAGCGATTCAATTTTTGAAAACTCGGTTTGAAAATGGGAATACAAAAATTATAGCAAGACAGACTTTGTCTATCTGCAAGCAGGCGCCAGGTGAGCCTGTATTTGATTTTTCGAATCGACTGAATGAAGCAGTTAGAGCTGCTTTAAGTGGAGAAAATGAAGAAATTATTAAGAAAAGACTTTTGGAGGAATTCCTGGACCGTATAACGCCAGAGCTACAATTTCAAGTTAAATCACAGAGACCTACGGATTACGTTTCAGCTTATGAATTGGCTCTGCACTTTGAGCTTTTACTGGGTGATAGAAAACGTGTGAATATTTCAAGTGCGGATCTCGCCGAAAAAGTAGATGCTTTAACAATTGATAAAAATAAACCTGAAGTTATTACTTGTTATTGCTGCAGGCGCCCAGGTCACATAGCACGTAACTGCCCTGAGAATCAGGGGAACTTTAATAGAAACTATAGAAGAAATAATAATTACAATCCGCGATATAACTACAACGCGAGAAATTATGATAGTAGACAGAGATATAATCAGAACAGACCCAATTACAATCCCAATTACAATGGAGGCCATATAAATCATTACAGTAACTTGAATTACCGCCAGAACAATTATGAGCAATATGAAGGTCAAAGACGTAATAATTACAGAAATTATAATAATTGCAATCAATATACCTCGAATTCGAGAGACAGTAGTAGATCTTTGGCAGTAGACGTGGAAAATTTGAACGTAGATCGAGTCCGTCTATTAAAGTTATGAGTCCACTTCTTCTTGCGGTAATTGCATTATTATCAGTTTTTAGTGGGACATTAGCTCATAATCCAATGAGTTGCTTAAATGAAGCTCCAAAATCTTTATGGAAGTTTCCAGATCCAAATTATCCAAACTGGCAGCCAACAGCAGAATTAACACACGAAATTATAAAACTTACGAGTAAAAGTTCTGTATGTCAGAATCTCAGTACAAGAACAGAAGCATTTGCTAGCAACATTGTTGCTAAATGCCTTTTTGCTTTTCTTACTGGAGGTATTTTGGCCCATCTAATTGGCTATCTAAATATTGGCGAGAGAATTTACCAATACACCTTTAATAGGAGAAGAGCCAAAAAGATTGGAAAATTAAAATTAAATAACTTTAAACTAAAAATGACAAAGAAAGATAAATTAGTGCCGATTGGAAAAAGATGGCCCTCTCAAAACTTTAGAGAAGAAAATCCTAAAAATAATGTAGTTGAAGTAATGATAGCTGGCCATCAGCTGGCCATCAGTTTTATTCAAAAATGATTTTATTGTTGATAAAATTTTTTAAATATATTTTAATATTTATTATTTTATTTTTATAATGAAAAATATTTTTAAAGTCCAAATATTTTTTAATTTTATTTTTTATTTTTTAACAATATGCATATTTACATATACATATTTTTAATTATTTCTAATTATTACAATTTAGTTAATGAAGTTGTTATGTTTAACAAATATGAAACTATCGTTTCAACCTATTGTCATGACAAAAAAATTTTCTCAAAATTTTTTCTCAAATTTTTGCCTTTTATTCAAACAGAAAAATTCATTTCTATCATAAGACCTTTACACGTAACATGTTGAAGTAAACAAGAAAGTGTGTGAAACAAGTTTTAGTAAAATTATCATGGAAACTCTCAAAGTACATACAATTTTTAAGTCAGAAAACTTTTTTTCATTTTTATTTATTAATTTTAAAAACTTTTTACTAATAAACTATAAAAAAGTACATTAAATTAATTAAAATTAATTATTAAAAACATTAAATTAAAATAATTAAAATTAAATACCGGAGGCAAAATTTTGATATAAAACAAATAATATTCGATTCGTCTCTAGAAGCTGAATCGAATAAGCTATTATTTGTAGATTCAATTCTTCTCCAAAAAATTCGTTTACTCCCCTCTATGGTTTTCCGATTTTCTGGGACACATATCTCGGCCCACAGGCATTTCCGCATCTAACCAGTATTACCGTTTGACTCAGTTTTGGTTCTCGAATCGAGAAATTTCTTGTGTTTTGCAGGTCGTCGAATGGATAGTGTGTCATGTTCGTATGTTTGAGCTAGGAAAACGTTTGAGCTTCGAACCATTAACAATTAATGAGTAAATGACTGTTTTTCATTTGCAAAATAAATTATAATTAAAATATTTTATCAGAAAAAGTAAATAATATTTTTTGAATATCTAAATTCAGAAAAACTTTTTTTACAAAATTTTTAAAATTTTCGCCTGCGGCGCAGATAAATTAGCTGAATATCAAGTAAACCGCTTAATCCCTCGATATTCCACTTAGTCCCCTCTTGATCCTAAATTTCCAGAAATAGTATTATCTATTTAATTTCCACTCGGACACTGGAGGGAGAGAGGATCAAATGTTAAAACTTTTTAATAAATCCGAATTTTTACATAAATTTTAACAATATTTCGAGTCTCAACCCTAGAACTTACTCGTTTTTTATGTCCCGATTTCTCGTTCGGTCTGGGACCTAATTCACGGTCTAGATCTCGGCTCTCGAGTCTCAATAAATTTTAATTCCCTCGCAACACTAAAATTTTGCCTCCGGTATACTGCACTACATCAAAAAATAAAAATTCCATCAAACATGGAGGAAAACAAAAGTTTCTATAGCGTTAGTTTTTAATTCTTATTTTTATATAAAATAAATTTAATTTAAGCCAATTTATTCAACATACAATGAAAAAGGGTTTGCTCCTGAACTATTTTTCAATGCTCTACCTACTACATTAGTTTCTTTATTCATAATTATATCAAATTCTAGTCTTTGTTATATTATTATTAAATATAGGTAAATTATATTCGATATAATTTAATCAGGTATTTTCTGATCGTTTACAGAGAACTCAAAATTATGATTGGGTATTTGGTAAATTTCGATATTATCGAATCGGTATTAGACTATCAAAGTCCACTCAAATCAACATTAGAGTCTAATATCCATTTTACTCACTAATATAACTCTAATCACTCTAAATCGCTTTTAATCCTAAATACCCTTTTAATCACATCTAATCCCTCTATATCACTATATTGAGATTGAGATAACATAACCTGATAAAATTAATTGCTCCGATTTGACTTGAAATAAAAAAATAGTATAGTATTAAACATACTGATTTATTAACTTGTGTTTAGATTTAAATAAAAAAAGTGGAATGGACTAATTAAATTTTATTAAATTTAAGAAAAAAATATCAAACGATAAAAAGCCCTACAAGTACTCTACTGTTTATTTATGCTTCTATTGAAATTTTCAATTTTACACTTCGATTAATTTATTTTGTAAGAGTATCCATCGGACAAAATTTTCTTCCAATTTGGTTTGCAAAATTTTATGTTATTTACATAAATAGTACATATCTTTCTATATATTTTATGTATATAATAATATGTTTTGATCGTTTATTTGCTGTTTCCTTCCCAATATTGTAAGTTAAAAATTTACAAATTTACTAATCTTTTTAAATTTGCACAATTTTTGCACGCGGTGCTAGTAAAAAAAGCCAAAATCTAAATAACTGCAACAAGAATTTGAATATCTGCAACTAGACTTCGAATAGTATTGGGGTTGATGCACAAATCAAACGCATAAAGTGATTGGACGTTTAAAACTCGATTGGACGTATATTGTTTAATAGAGCCAATATTTTCAAAAATTCAAAAATTTAACCAAAATCCTAAAAAATTTTAAAAATTTTTGCAAAAATTCCCGTCGTTAGGTTTGTACTTTTATTTCGTTTCAAAACGAAACGAAATAAATTTTTTTCATTTTTTGTTTCGAAATGCAACGGAAAAGGACAAAAAAGAGCGAAACAAATATCCTTCAATCATAAATATCTCTCAATCAAACGAAATCACTGATATTTTTTAAATCCTCTTTTCCAAAATAAACAGTTTAAAGCAAATTTTTAACTCAAATTTATTTTCTAACACTTAATTTCCTATAAATTACTCTCAATTTTCTTCAATCAATTTTAAACAATCACAAAAAATTTTATTTCACAGGAAAGCGTATAAAAATATATTTTATTGCGAAGTAGATTTTATTTAGAAGAATTTTATTAGAATGAAAAGCCTTTAAACTGGGAAAGAACAATGAATAATGAATGAACTATGAACACCTTTTAACTATCCGCTGATAGATTTTATAGGAAATATGTTGGGAAAGTTTACAACGAAAGAATTTTAATAATAAACAAGTTTTTGTAAGCTTGGGAAAAATGAAATCGCATTTCGAAAATGCGACACTCCGGCCACAAGGTTAAAGTGAAGGGAATATAAGTCCATTAATTTGATGATGAGGTAGAAAAACAACAGAAAAGAAATTTGGATTAATAACGGGAATCAAAGAGATAGAAGGCAACTGAGGGATAACTCCAGTACAAGATTGAGAATAGGTAGAATGTGAACGTATAAGCGGGATATAATAGAATTTTATGTCGTTTAACGGTATCGGTTTTATCACAATTTTGGTTTTTTCATTCATTAAATTTCTGGGAAATTTGGTCGACTCAACCCATTTCTTTCCACATTTCTTTTTCACTGTTATTCGATGCGTTCTGGCCTGATGGTTTGGGATTGTTTGAGCTTGTTCTTTCGGCGGACCAGATTCTTTTGGGGGTGAGGTAGTAAGTGGGATATCCTTCACGTCTATTTCGGGTGGTTGTTGTTGTTGGTTGACAGTAGGTGATTGAGCGAGTGGATCAGAGTAGTCGATTTTTGTTGCAGTGGGAGAAGGGGACTTGACTGATGGCACATCACCTGGGGGGCCTGAAGATTCATTCTGTAGTGTCCAAGTTGGCGTATTATCTGTGGGAACTGAAGTTTCTGGTTTTACCCTATTAATTTTCATAGCTTTCATTGCATTTGTTGGCGTGTGTATGGAATTAATTTCATTATTATTTTTTAATTTTGTATTTGCGGTAGTCGGTGAGTTACAGGAATTTGTTCTGGAATCGGGAGAGGGTAATTGGGTTTGATTGTTATCTAGCTGTGTACAATTTTTGATTGAATTATGGATTAATAATGGCTTGTCTGGTATTGGAAGGGACTTTATTCCAGGGTTAATCTCATTTAAAGTAACTAGTTCGGTCTTGGTTTCCATTGAATTATTGTGGGAGGTGGGACTGTTGAAATCTTCTGGAAATTTTATCAGGGATAAAGGGATAGGCCTTATAGAGGGAGTTGCATCAGATATCATCTGAGAACAGAAATTAGTTACATGCTGCGGGGGAGGTTCTTGTAGGGAATTGAATGGATTTGGACAAAGTGCACGGGGATGGAGATTTCGACAATTAGTGCACGTAATTGGGTTTTGACAGGATCTAGCGAGATGGTCAGGCTTATAACAAGTAAAGCAGAGTTTCTTTTCTCGTAGCCGGGATTTTCGTGTTTGAAGGGTATTATAATTCGAACAGAGGTGGGAGAGGTGATTAGGATGATTACAAAAAACACAGGGGAATTTATACATCCCTGGTCTGTTATTCGGCCTAGAGGTAGAAAATGTCAGAGAGGATTGAGGCATATTTGGGGAACGAAAATTTCCAACTTGCCTGAACTGTTTGGGAGAATTAGAGGGCCTGTCCTGTGTATTGAGTTCCTTCTTCTGGTCCCTAAGGGCTTTGACTCCTTCCTTTCTTTTCAATATTGACTTCAGTGTATTGCGGAGTTGGTCTGTGTTCCAGTCTTGCCCATGAATTTCTTTGTCTCTGAACACTTCTTCAAGTATTTGAGGGGGTAATTTCGATTCGAGTTCCATTTGAACGGGCAGATTATTTACATCAAAGTGTTGTTCAAGCATTTGCAAATAAAGCGATTCGAATTGGTCGACGAAAGATCGTAATTCAGTACACAAAATTTCGGGACCGTTCACGGAGTGAACGACGGGTAATTTTCGGATGGCATGGTGGAGAGTACGGTTAATTTCGTCTACATTGCCAAAGTTTTCATGTATTAGGCGAATTGCTTCATGGTAAGAAGCTTCTGTGAGAGGGAGTGACTTTACTAGTAGAAGAGGGGGCCCTTCCAAGCATTCTTTCAAATAATTAAATTTTACGGAGTCGGAAATGTTGGTGAGGTCGTGGACTCCGACGCGGAAGGCGTTCCAGAACGAGGTAAACTCCACGCATTTACCGCTAAATTTTGGAAGGGACAGTTTTGGGAGGTGGAAAAGGGTGTCGGTGGTCTGGGAGGGGTCAGGTAAACTTGCGGACAATGTCCCTCTCTCAGAGTGGAGTTTT